ATGAGACGACGGATTTTATACCTATCGTCCTCATCATGACTAATAATCCAGAATATTCTTATTACGCAAAGAAAAAAACCAAGATGCGCATGACTATAGGCCCATGATACAGCACACACGTTTAAGCTAATACCCAGGTGAATTGACGTCATCCCCTGAGACACATCCTTTAATTACACAGTCGGTTACACATAGGTGCAGTTAACGCACACTTTCTGTAACTCTACCTCCAATTTGTCTAAAAGCATGTTTCAGAGTTTCTATTCTTCACCCAAATAGAGCTTGATGAGCTCTACTCAATAATATAATCCGATTTTCTATAGCTCAAGCTATGTTTTGTCCAATCACAAAAACAATGGTGCATCGCCATAGGAAATATGTCATCAACAAAGTAATTCCAACTCCATTTTTGTGCGAGATCGTATTCCAGAATTCCTATTTTTCTTTGCGATACAACTCGATACGCTCTATTCACTGATATAATCAGAGTTGCCCTAAGGGAAATTATGTCTTCGAAAATTACAAAAAACTGCTATTGCATCAAGGAAATATGTGGCATTCAAAATAATTGGTACCTCATTCCATCCATAATCATATTCCATATTTTCTATTTTTCTCGGATTTAGAATTTGATGAGCTGTATTCAATGATATAATCAGATTTGCTATATGGTCAAATTATCTCTCGAAAATCAGAGAACAATGGTACTTCGCCATAGGAAATATGTGACCGTCAAAGTAATTGGTACTTAGAGGCGTGCAGGATAAACTTTTTTTTTGTACCCTGTACCCTTTGTGAGAAAATTTCTCATACCCTTACCCTAACCTACTACTCTAGAGAGTTTATTTCTTACTCTCCCTTAATCCTTCCATATTCAGAAGATTGTAAAAATGGTATGTTGTAAAATAGTGTTACGTTTTTCTGATTTATTTTATTTTTCATTACAATATATTAACTTACAATTGCTTTGAAATTTTTAATGAACAACATATCATCAACAATGTCATCACTTAAACTTTGTCGTCGTTCTTCGAGAATTCTTCCACTTGCACTAAATATTCTTTCCCTAGTACATGAACTAGCTGGTATACCAAATAATGATCTGGCAAGAATACCAAGTTTTGGATATATTATTGATCATTTTTTCCACCAGTTTAATACAGATTCTTCATGATTGATTATTAGTTTTGATTTAACATAACGATCAACTTCATCATCTTCTTCTTCGTCATTTGAATCAGGTTGATTTTCTTGAGCAAATTCCATCATTACATCCTGTTGTAAAAAATCATTTTTTTAAATTTTTCTTTGATATTTTTCTTGGTGTACTAGTAATAGCTGTTGCAGAAGTTTGTTTTTATGTTTCATCAGGTTTAATGATGTTGATTGTTTTCATCATATCTCTTGTAGCTTTATAAACACCATTTCGTTCTTTTTGACTGTATGACTAAATAAATTAAGTATAAGCAACAGATGTATGAAACTTTAATATTTGTTCGCGTATAAGACTTACTAATAAGTTTTTTGTGAGAGGGTGAAGAAATGTTGCTATATCATGAAGTCGAGTAAGCCAAACTTTTTCTTTTATTTGTTCTAATAGCATTTTTTTGAAATTTTTAATTGTTGGTAATTCATTATTTTTAATTTCACAAGATATTTAATTTATTGATCCAAGGTATAACCAAGTGCAGAGTAGGTTCTTGATCAGAAGATAATTGTTCACTAGCCTTCTTGAAAAACGATAAGATATTAATAATATTTGTTAATAATACGCGATCAATTTTATCTAAATAATTGGCATATTTTTTTCTTTCCAAAAGAATATCTTCAATACATTTAAAATTCACATCAATAGAATTTAGCATATCGTAGATTGAGTTCCATCTAGTCTCACAGTGTTGCTTCAAAGAAAAGAATAACAAATGGTTCAGCTCGTACCTTTTAAAGTGTGTAACAAGTTCAGCAGCCGCATTAATCAGTAAATGAATATTTGGATGTCCCTGAATAGAATGTTGAATAACTAAATTCAAACAGTGGCCTAAAACAATTATTATATACATAAAATTATTAAACTTTTATGATCATAGATAATGTTCTAGAAAATGAAAACACTCTTTCTTCTTAGACTTAAAGAACGTTCTCTTTATTAAACAATTAATCTGACTTTCTCTTTAGAAAAGTTTTTTTTCCTATTAAAAAACAAAATTATGTATAATCTATAAAGAATTACTTACAAATGCATCTTAGATGTACTTCGTCTTTTAATCCTGAAATGAAGTTTGATGCATTATCTGTTAAATATATAACATGTTTACCATCTTGATCTAAACCATATGATCTCAATACCGATTTAATAATTCGAATTGTATTTTCACCACTTTTAGTTCCTGAGAAATAAAGAGTTTTTAACATATATGTTACAGGATTATCACTTTTTGTATAATGAATGTTTATCGTTAAAAAATTCTCATTTGTATAAGAATTTCTCCAATAATCAGTACTTATTTCAATTAATTTAACTTCTTTTAAATCTTCACGCCAAATGTCATTCATTTTCAAACGATATTCATTAGCATTTTTTATATACTACGTGACATATTTGTACAATCAGGGAATAATACTTCAACAGATGGTTTACTTAATTTAGCTAAACCATATTTATAACCCGAATCAATTAGTGCCTGATATAATTGTTTAAAACCTTCACCATTAACAGTATTCAAACAACGCATGTCAAACGCACAGTATTTCGAACTTGCAATAGTAATCATTCTTTTATCATCAGGAGGTATACTAATATTTTTTTTTTTAACATAATTGTCAATTGGCATTGTAGATTTTGGTAAACTAGTTTTCTTTGTACAATTCTATACATGAAGATTAAGTGAGTTTGTTCCGTTTTTTTTCTTCATATGATAATATTTGTTGACAAATTATACATTGAGCAAATGGTTCATATACTCCATTCATATCTTTTATTTGAAGTAAATTTGACCAAAATTCACCTTTTCAAGATGTTGGTGGTTTCTTAGTTGTACACGTTCTGCCTTCTTTGAACTTCGATAATAAATTACAATATTAAATCAAGTAGATCAACAAATCAAAATAAATACGTAACAAATTCATTCCAATTCATAATACTATTTTAAACGGATCAGTAAATAAGTATAAATAAATACGAGATCAATTGTAAATCACGACACCATTTCAAACAAATCAGTAAATAAATATGAATAAATATTAAATCGATTGAAATCACAATACTAATTCGAGGAAATCAATAAATAAGTATAAATAAATAATAAACTGATTGTAACTCACAATACTATTTCAAGTCAATCAGTAAAAATAGATATAAATAATTAATAAATCGATTTTCATTCACAATATGAAGTCAAGTAAATCAATGATAGAGAAGATGATAAACAATAAATAGATATTCTTTCCTATCGACTTAATCCTATAATATGGTGAAATGACTGGCCTTTAATCGATCCATTAGAGTAATCACACAAGGAAGATGTCACTAGAAAATGATCATTCTTCTATAATCCTGTGAGGATATCGATATAATGAACAATAACCTATCTGTACATCTGCGCCAAGACCCTTTTATTCTCTCACTCTTACTCTACTCTATCCTGCAGGGCAGGGCAGGGCTGGGTAGGGTACGGTAGGGTAACTCTGCACACCTCTAATTGGCACCCCATTTCGTGTAGAATCATATTCCAAATTTCCTATTTTTTGTGGATTTAGAACTCGATGAACATTATTGAATGATATATAATCAGATTTTCATAGCTCAAACTATGCCTTCAAAAATCAAGAAACAATGGCACTTCACTATAGAAAATCTTTGATCATCAAAGTAGTTCCGACCCCATTTCACCCAGCATCGTATTCTAGAGTTTCTATATTCGTACCATATACAACTCAATCACCTGTATTCAATGGTCAAAACAGTTTCTCCATAACTCAAATTATTTCTCCAAAAATCAGACAACAACGGTACTTCACTATTGGAAATATGTGATCATCAAAGTAATTCCGACCCCATTTCGTGCACGATCATGTTTCAGCCTTCCTAACTTTGTCTGAAGTAGAACTCAATGAGCACTATTCAGTGGTGTAATCAAATTTTCTATAATGAAAATAATGTCTTCAAAGATTACAAAATACTGCTGTTTCACTGGAAAAAATATGAGACTACCAAAGTATTACCGTTACGGGCATTGTCCTCACAGTATGCTTTTCTTTGCTTTCTTCTCTCTTTTCCCCTGGATGTGATATTTTCTTTTTCGATGTGATATCTTCGGTCATATATGGGTGTGGGGTGTGGGTGTGGGTGGAGTGTAGTTGTTTCTCTTTTTGAGCCACATCACACCCACATCCACACCCCACACCCACATCACACCCACACCCACACCCCACACCACACCCACACATCCACACCCTAGAAGATTTGCAATAAAACCATCTTTGCTTACATCAATATCGAGTATTGATTCCCACGAAAACAGCAATTATCCGAAGAGCACTTTAATTATTATAATCAAGAAATGCAATGGCCTTTTTCTTCCTTTCAATTCATGTTTGGCGTATTATTGATGAGTATTGACATAATCTTGAATGATGTGAATGAGAACAAGAGATATCTTATATAATGCCATTACTTTTCTACATACTTACATTCAAATTCCTCGACTGAAGTCGGCCAGGTGTCTGTTGGCGCTAATATTATTTCAATTTTACTATTATTGACCATTGTCGTCACTCTTTTGCATGCTGCACATCAACATTATGTTATCAAGAAAGATCCCAGCCCCCGATTCGGAAGGAAGCAATTCTCAGTGTATGATACAACGGAAAAAGTACTAAAATATCGTATCGAATCGAAATTTCTACGTACAGGCAGTAGACAAGTCTATATTTATCCATCAAAAGAAGTTGTTGGCAAATTAACTTGCAGATGGACATGGTCTCTCAAAGCTGATTTTTCAGTCCTCGATCCAAGATCGAACCGTTGGATCAATGGAAATATTACGCAACTGAATAAACTTACTTTAAAACAACCAACCAAATACTCCATCTATTGGAATGATCAGTCCTTAATGATGGAAACCCATATCGCATCATACTTCAGAAAAATCTATGGTAAACCTGAAGATGGTGATTTGGCTAAGTTTTCAAAACGATGCATTTCAAAATCGTCATCAGATGAATACACTTTGACCATATTCTCCAATAAGTTTCCAGATGCATTTTACCTTTTAGTGTTTACTGCTGAAGATTTCACGAAATTGCCTAGTGGGACAGGCAGACGAAAAAATCCATTTGCACAACATCCTCTTGATCCATTTATATGATTATTCGTAAAATGTACTCAATAAGTGATGAAGGCAACTTTAGAAGAAAAATCAGTGTGAATTTGTGTCTCATTTGAAAAGATATTTATTTCTTTTGAGAGAATCTTACTAGTTAAGAAAACATTTGTATGTAGATATTTGTGAAAATGATACGGATGTGAATGTGTCCTTGAAGAGAGGAAGCTTTTAAACACCTAAATATGAGAAAAATGTGTAGCTCCATATTATGCTTGGTACATGTTTCATAACTTTGAGTGCTGAATGTACAACTCAAAGGAAATGTACTGAAGAGATACCGCAGTATTTGGCTGAAAAATTGCTCAAACTATGAGTTGCTGTCGAAAAAATCATCAACTCATGACCCGTCATGTTGTTTAATTCAAAAAAACATATTATTTCTTTTTATATTGGATTGATATGTGGGATACGCTAAGATAGTTCTTCATAGAGAAGTTCATGTTTTTACATTAGATTTATCATGAGGGATCACTTAGAGACGAAGTAGCAGCAATGGATGGACGCATAGAACACACGGTATTGTCTGATTTAGATGACATTTTTGTTAATAAAATAAACTGATGGCAAAGATGAAATTATTTTACATTGGATTTTATGAAAAATTTAAATTTCCATATTGTTTGAACCATACTTGATGATATTTTTGAAATCCACGACATCCTACTTTGATATAGAATTCAACTTTTTTCCGAATACATTTTTCTCTAATAAGCAGCCGTAAAAACATGAAATTTATCCAAAACCTTCTTGAAGTATCTCATTTTGCAGAGGTTTTTTCAATGATTTGTGTTGTAAAATAAAGTTTTCATTCACATCCAAAAATTATAGTGCTCAGATTGAAATACTAGAAAACATCAAATTACTATAGAGAGTTCCAGCGCAATTCGACATTGCAGTATAGTGACTTTAACATCATCATGTGTCTATGGAAATAGAAATGATTTTTGAATACAAATGATCAGCAAAAGAATATTTACAAAATTAAAAATGTTGAAAAGGCTTTGAGTGTTTTGTATGCTCTTATAATTCACTTCTTTTTTTGGAATCAAAGCCTTTATTAAGATGTTAACAAAAAGGAGCAACAATATATACAAATATACAGAAGGCTGGGAGAAACGCCGAGACGCATGACGAAGGGTGTGGGTGTGGGTGTGGGTGTGGGTGTGTGGGTGTGGGTGTGGGTGTGTGGGTGTGGGTGTGTGGGTGTGGGTGGGTGTGGGGTGTGGGTGTGGGTAGGTGTGGGTGTGGATGTGGATGGGTGTGGGTGTGGGTGTGCGTGTAGAAGTGAGATGATCCTCACACCTAGATACCCCGCACCCACAGTAATATCAAGACCCACACCCACACCCCACACTCCCACCCCCACCCCCAAATCCATTCTTTTGCTGTTAATATGATCTCGAGTAAAGTCAATCAGATATAAGCAATTTATATACTTCAAGGTTAGCTGATATGATTGTAGATTTGAATAAAATCTACTCATATTCAACATAAACCAATTTTTTTTGTTTCTTTTCTGATATAATATAAAAAAAAGATGTTTATGATTCTTTTTCTACTGGCGCAAAAAGTATTTGATCAAAAAGAAACGAAGGATTTTTTTTGTTGGTAACGAACATATTACTTGTTTCTTGCTGTCAACACCGTGTGCAAGAGCATTTGCAAAGTGACACATATATATTTTTAGTTATATGTTTCGTTTATTTCTTTATGATGAAAGTCATTTCATTGAAAACAAATCATTGTCAAACTAACAGAAATCAACTAACTAAAAATTTAAATCTTATAATCAAAAGTCGATCCTTCTTTCATTTATTTTTGCAAATAGAGAAATAATTAATTCGCTTTTATTATATTTTTAAAAACAATAAAGATACAATGTTCAAAATGCTTAGTCTTGGCCATTGTTATATCAGAAATCTTTTAATCTATACTAATAGTAAATTCAATATCTTTTACAGCTATAATATTTGCTGGATCGTTGGTATATCCAAAAATAAATTTTAGATCAATATAATCAGTTCCAGGAATTGAATCCTTACAATATGACCAATAACAAAAATCCAATGAGCTGGAAAAATTTCTGTTGCAGGAAGATGATATTACTAAAATAAATGAATAATAAAATTCGAATATCGGACAAAGATGCTTCTCAAAATCTACAAATAATTCAAAGTTCAAAATATTCTAAGAATTTGAAGTTATTCTACTGTGTTTTTTTCAAAGACATGGTATACGAAAAACTTGAGTAGATAGATGGAGTGTGCATGAAAATGATGTATCCACTTTTTGTTTAAAAAAATTATTGAAAACTAATCCAAATGTGTAAAAAAGAAAATTTTTTTTTTTCATCTGATTTTTATCTATTGTCCACTGATTGGTCTCAACTAAACTCACGTATAATACAACATAATTTTCGCTGTGCTCGTTGTCATCTCTAAAATCTA